AGCTTGAGAAATGCCAAGCGTGTTCTTCCCTTTTGTTTTTCTAACTCCAGGTCTTTGCACATTTCATTATAATAATTGACTTTGTCCTCTTGAGCTGCTCTTTGAAATCTTCTGTTCAGCTCTTTTATCTTGTCATCCCTTCCATTTGCTTTAGCTACTCTCTGCTCAAGGTCAAGTTTCAGAGTCTCTTCTGACATCCATTTTGGTCTTGTCTTTCTTCCCTCTCTTTTTAATGACCCTTTTCTTTTCTTCATGGATGATGTTCTTGATGTCATCCCACAATTCCCCTGGTTTTCAGTCACTGGTGTTCAATGCATCACATCTGTTCTTTAGATGGTTTCTAAATTCAGGAGGGATATATTCAAAATCATATTCTGGCTCTTGTGGACTTCTTTTAATTGTCTTCAACTTCAGGTTGAACATGCATATAAGGAGTTGATGGTCTGTTCCACAATCAGCTCCTGGCCTTGTTTTGGCTGAAGATAATGAATTTCTCTACTACCTCTTGCCACAGATGTGGTCAATTTGATTCCTGGTGAGGTCCACGTGTATAGCCACCATTTGTGTTGTTGAAAAAAGGTATTTGCAATGAATAAGTCGTTGGTCCTGCAAAATTCTATCATGCAATCTCCAGCATTATTTCTATCACCAAGGCCATATTTGCATAAGTAGGAAGATTTAATAATATATTTTGAAAATTTTTCTTATTTGTTGCATTTCTTTTTGTGTGTGTGACTATCCTGTTTGTTTATGCAGTTTGAGGTTTTGTTCTCATGTTTTTCTTTGTTGGTGTTATTTATTTATTTTTTTATCTAACTGAGTGGGAGACAGCAACTGTTACCACACAACCCAACCATACCTGCACCTCCTGCAGACTCATCCACTGAGTAAGTGCCATCACTTGCTTTTGCACCATATGACCAATGATATATAGTGGCCATTACCAGCTCAACTCACTCTCAACTGCTCTTTATGAACAGCTAATAGAGAACTGTGCACACACTCTCATTCTCTATCATACCCATTAGGAGACAGGTGGTGAGTGCCTAAGTGCTAACAACTAGCAAATAGAGGAGCACAGTATGCTTCTGACACAGATATATAAAAGCAAAATAAAAGAAAGAAATCTTGTGAAAATCACATCAATATACAACCACAAATTAAACATAAATACACAACATTACAATGTCTTGGAGACAATGGACCATCACAGTCCACCCAAAAAGGCAAGATAAAATAGTAGAAACAAGGGACCAGAATATAAACCGAGAAAATTTCCCTGAGGAAGAAGCAGCATTTGAATTCACTGATAAGGAATTTGAAAGAATTATATTTGGTTACCTTCAATGGATTAAGAGACAAATCAAGGAAAACACTGACAACATCAAGGAAAACACAGACAAAACTCTAGAACAATTTAGGGAAAACAACACAAGAACTAATTGGCAAAATAAACAAAAAAATAGAAATGATAAAAAACAACAAACATCCATAAGATTAATGCTAAGATTTCAGAAATAGATAATACATTGAATGGGCAAAGGAGTAGAATCGAATCAATGGAAGACAGAATTAATGAGATTGAACACAAATACCTCAAAACTGCTTTGTTAAGGGATCACTCAGACAATAGATCAAAACATAATGAAGAAACCATAAGATTCATGTGGAATACCATCAAGAGGAATAACCTACATGTACCCAGAATTCCAGAACAAGAAGAAACAGGATAAAACCACAGAGAAAACTGTTGAGGATTTGTTTGAAGAGAATTTCCCTAGTATGATGAAAGATGAGAATATATCCAATTAAAAAGTTCAATAAACCCCACACAGGATAGACTCCAAAAGAAAAACACCAAGACATATCATCATCAAACTCACCAGAACCAAAGACAAAGAAAGAATCCTGAAAGCAACATGGGAAAAACAAAAAATTACCTACAAAGGGCAACCAGTAAGATTAAGCTCTGATTTCCCGGCAGAAATCATGCAGGTGAGTAGGCAATGGGATGATAGATATGTATAAAATACTGAAAGAAAAGAATTTACAACTGAGAATTATATACCCAGCAAAATTGTCTATCAAATATGAGAGTGAAATTAGATTTCCAGATAAACAGAAATTAAGGGAATTTGTTAAAACCAGACCAAATTTTGTCCCCCGCCCAATGAGGAGATGGATGAGGATGGGCTTCCTCTCATGGGGTCGGGCATAGACCTGACCAAGGTGCCAGCTATTCAACAGAAAAGAACAGTGGCGTTTCTTAACCAATTTATGGTGCACACAGTACAGTTCCTCAACTACTTTTCTACTGTTTGTGAGGAGAAACCGGCAGACCTTTCTCTTCATATCCAACAAATTGAAACAACTCTCAATATTTTAGATGCAAAGTTGTCATCTATTCCAGGACTAGATGATGTCACGTTTGAAGTATCTCCTGTAAGTGTCAGTACTATCACAAATGGACCACAATCTAAAGCCACTTCAGATCAATCACAGCAGAACAGTATACAAGACTCTGGACCACAGGAAAGTGAAGTAGCAGCAGAAAATATCTTAACTGTAGCCAAGGATCCAAGATATGCCAGATATCTCAAAATGGTTCAAGTGGGTGTTCCAGTGTTGGCAATAAGAAACAAAATGATATTTGAAGGACTAGACCCAGATCTTCTTGAGCAACCAGATGTTCCAGTGCCTGATGGTGAAGGTGAAAAAAATGCAGAAGAAAGTTCAGATAGTGAATCTTCTTTTAGTGACTAAGCTTAATTTTGATAAAAATGTCATATACATGTGTAGGTGTATGTTTACATTCTATGAGTGAGAACCTAAACTCTCAGGCATGTAAACCTCAAATGGCCACATACCTACCACAAAGCTTCCTCTGTGTTAAAAAATAA